GTGTCTACCCCCACTGGGTGACTGTGACGATTAAATGAAACACACACATATAGAAGGCACTTGATGATTGCTCCCTATTATGCTGATCTGACAAAAGAAAGTGTGGTCTAGCAGATTTTTCTTTTATAACATTTATGTTTTCTTATGCGAGTCCTAAACATTCTCTGGAGAAAATATGAGTAATCAAAACGAAGGACAGAAAAAGCACCTGTCTCTAGCACTCTCTGAATACTGTGGTGTACATTCAGCCTTCTACTCTTTTCCCCAAACGGAGAAGATGTCACTCTTGACACCCTTCTGGAATAGGACACTCTTGTTTGCTAACTTGCAGGCTTTGGGGGAATATTTCCCTATGGGAGGGTGGTTGAGTTCATGTCTCTTCAAGTCCACTAGTCCTGCTCAGACACAGCAGGACAGCAGGTCTCATCACCATCGCATCAGGAAAGGCAGCTGGCAACGGGGACAGCATTTAGTGTTGGCATTTCATATATACTTTCCTTGTCATTTAGAAGGATCCTTCTTATTGAACATATAGTGGACACAGGGCATTGTGTTATGGGAGCTGTGAAGGTACCAAGGTGTCTTGTCCTTTAGTGTCAATAGTGCGACTTACTTAACTTAGCAGGTTAAGCAAAAGGAAGGAAAACAAAATGACCCATGGGTTTTCTTTTAACCACATAAAATTGTGTTTGGCAGGAGGAACCCTTTTGTCTTTGCTGATGCATGAGAGTGGCAGGGGTCCTGAGACAACTGGAGAAGGAGCCGCTTCTTGGTGGCATCTGCCGAGTGTTCGTGGGGGAGGCAGGGTGAGCCTCAACAGCCTCGGTGGCTGATCCCACTGCTGCCTCTCTCATAGTCATGCTGACTCCACTTTTTTTTTTTTTGGTAGAGACAAGGTCTCGCTATGTTGCCCAGACTGGTCTCGAACTGCTGGGCTCAAGCAGTCCTCCTGCTTTGGCCTCCCCAAGTGCTAGGATTGCAGGTGTGAGCCACCGGGGCTGGAGTGCAGGGGTACTTTCAACAGCCACCACAGCCTTGACCTGTAGGGCTCTGGCAATCCTTCCTCATCAGCCGTCCAAGTAGTTGGAACCACAGGTGTGTGCCACCACATCTGACTAATTTTCAAATTTTGTTGTAGAGATGAGGTCTCATCAAGTTGCCCAGGCTGGTCTCGAACCCCTGGGCTCAGGCAATCTTCTTGCTTCTGCCTCCCAAAGTGCTGGTATTACAGGTGTGAACCACTATGCCCAGCCAGGTTTTTATTTTTTATTCCACTGTCTGAAGGTTCTGTGGTTATTCTTTCTGCAAAATCCCAAACAAACCCAGCTGACTTCCTCATTTTGTGCTCAACCTGTGCGCCCAGGGTCACCTCGCCATCGCTGGAGGAGACGCCAACGAGCTGTGCTGGGGTAGTGTATGAACTCTATTGTTTACAGGATTCTTTGAGGGTAATTTTGACAAGAATGGGTTTGTGCTTCTCCAGTGACTTTAGAATCTCAAGTTTTCCACAGGCATCTTGTGCCCGCCTCCCTCTCTCCCCAATGCTTCTTGCTGTGCACCTGCCCCTGCAGCAGGGCCCGGAGCCTGTGGCCAGCTATGAGATAGAAAAGACTACTTTGGCTTCAGGTGGCCTTGTTGATGCAGCTTTTGTACCTTAGATGACGCAAAGAGGCAACACTCCGGCTGGCAGCCTGCCTGTGGGTGGCCCACCTTGGAAGTGGACCTGGGCCCTCAGTTGGGCAGAGGCAGCTCAGCGCAGAGATGAGTCATCTGCAGAGGCTCACCCAAGCTGCAGATTCATGAGCAAAGGACGCAGAAACAACTTCTGGTTCAAATAACCCAGTTTTGGGATGGCTTATGATGGGACGTTTAGCAACCCCGAACTGACGAGTTTCTCTGACGTGTGACTTTCAGGGCTGAATCGTTACAGTCCTGGGCAAACCGGGAAGGTCGGTCCTCCTGACTTTCAGTCTCAGTCTGCTGACCTCTCGGGCTCTGTCTACGAGATATACATGTGTTTGTGTAACCATCCTGGGACAGAGACAATGGAGTACTCACATGCCGAATAACGGGGTGGTAATACCTGTCTTCTGGCTGAGTCTCACTCCCCGCCTGGCCTCAGGGTGGTCTAAGCAGCTCATCCATGAGCTGAAGTGTGGAGATGGGAGCCCTCCCCAGATGCCATCGGGGGCTGCTTTGAGTCTCCCGCTCCACCCCAAGCAGATCCCTGCCTCAGGGCTGTTGCACTTGGTGTCATCGGTCTGGGATGCTCACACCCTGCTCTTTCTCCTTCTTGCTCATCTCGTTTCCAGATGGCCTACAGGTCAGGTGGGGGGACCATATCTCCATCTTTTAGCACTCAGTGCCTGGTCAAGAGAAGATCACAGATTATTTTTTTAAATGCTGAAACAATGAAGGCGTTGGAAGGGTGCTCAGTGCGTAGGCAGGTCTGAATCCCACCACAGCAGAAATTCCCTCCAGGATAACCCTGGGAAGTGATAATTATCCTTTGTTCACCCACCTGCAGGATAGAGAGTTCACTACCTCACAGAGCAGCCTGTTCCACTGCATTTTTAAAAAGCATTTCAATGTGATATTAAGAATAATCTCCCTGTGACTTTTAACAACAGCCTCCCGGAGAAATCTAGCTGGCCACATCCCATCTCTTGGTGTCGAGGCCCCAGATACATCTCTAGCCCTTCCAGATCCTTTATTGATTGATTTATTTTTTGAGTGGGAGTCTCACTCTGTCACCCAGGCTGGAGTGCAGTGGCCACTCCCGGCCACTGCAGCCTTGACCTGCCGGGCTCCGGCGAGCCTTCCACCTCAGCCTTCCAAGTAGTTGGAACTACAGGTGTGTGCCACCATGTCTGGCTAATTTTTTGATTTATTGTAGAGATGAGGTCTCACCATGTTGCCCAGGCCCGTCTCAAACCTGTGGGCTCAGGCAGTCCTCTCACTTCTGCATCCCAAAGTGCTGGGATTACAGGCATGAGCCACTGCATCCGGCAGACCTGGTATCTTTTTTTTTTTTTTTTAAATCAAAAGGAGTTTTATTACTTGGTGCAAGTAAGAACACTGGGAGTATTCTCCAAAGCAGTGTCTCCCAGAGTGAAAGGAGGGTTTTATGGAGCGGCTGAGAAGGGAGAGGGTGCCTCCTCACAGCATGAAAAGAGGTCCCTGCTGCACAGATCCAGTGAGTCACTATGCCAGTAAGTAGGTCCTATCTTATGGTGACAAAACCATAGCTCCTCCCCAGGGTGGAGACATGCTAATGAGGAAAGTTCACTCAGGGTCATCTGTAAGTTGCTGGTTTTAGACCCAGTATCTTTATGCACACTGGAACAACTTATTTCAGGATGCTGAGGACATCAATACATCCTAAGGGATTCTGAAAATTTGTAAAAAGTAAGGAGTAATTCAGCTGGTGGCAACCTTTTTCAAAAACGTAAGATGGGAAAAGGTGAAAAGAGTAGCAATTCTCTTACCCAAATCTTATGCTTACTTTGGATACATCAGGATCTGGGTTCTGTCTTTCCAATCTCCCATTTAGCAACATTGTAAAGCAGGCTCCCCAACGGGTCCACTGGCCTGTTGGAACCAGGTCACACAGCAGGAGGTGAGCAACAAACTCTGCTTTCTGTCAGATCAGCGGCAGCATTAGATTCTCCTAAGAGTGGGAACGCTATTGTGAACTGCACATGCGAGGAACCTAGGCATGCTCATGAAGATCTAATGCCTGATGACCCCACACTCACCCACCCACCCACCTGTGGGAAAACTGTCTTCCATAATGCCAAAAAGTTTGGGGGACTGCTGTTGAAAAGGATCCCTGATCCCAGCCTACGCCTGACAGCTGAGATGTGATGGGCAGTGCTTCTGTCTCAACAGGTCAGAATCTTCCAGGGCAGCGGCTCCACTTTAGAAACCTGCATGTCCGGTTGCCCCCTCAGATCCTGGCTTCTGGGGCGAACACAGGACGCCCAGGGGCCCTGTGAATCTGGAGCCTGTAGCCTCTTGTCCTGGCCTGTGAGGTTGTGCATTCTCTGAAGGGTCATGCTCTGCTCGAGTATACTCTCAAGGTGTGGCTTAAACCAAAAAAACAAACAAGACGAAGCCTCAGAGGTCAGTCCAGTCACGGCTATTGTGTTCGTACTAGAACTTTTGTCATGGAGCTGGCAGGAGTCTCGGTCTTGGTGCCACTCTGCCCGGGCAGCTGACCCGAGAGGGACAGCTCAGCTCTGGGCAGAAACAACTCCCTGGACACTGAGACACTGCACACTACCCCAGGTCTTTCATGAGGATGGAAAAAACTGTACCTTCCCAGGACGCTCCCTCCTCCCTCGGTGGCTCTGGGCATCAGCCCGTCCTTTTTAATTAGCCCCGGGAACCAGCCTCTACCTCTCAAAGGAATTCGAGGGAAACCTTTCTGCCAAGTCCCAACTGAAGCCCCGTGACACTCAAGAACGTGGTCCGGGCTCTTGTGTAGGTTAAGGAAGTCTGAGAAGAATACAGATTATAGGGAAACAGTCTACCTTTCTTTACAAGGTCTTGTTTTGCATCCCTGAGATCTCAGATTCGGCGATCACAATGAGGTCCTGTTGTCGAAAGAGCTGGCCTTTATCACCACTTAAAATCTAATTAATCCATATTGAAGCACAAAGATTTCTGTTGTGCTTTAGGGTGAGGGGTCATAGAGCCCTCTTTGTTCATCCTTAGACTTATACTCATCAAGCAATGGGGATATAATTTTACCAAGCAAACGGAAAGCTAACAGATCAAATCCTTATCAGGAAGCCTAACTCGTAGCTTTAACAGAGTCCTTCGTCCTTTACATGAAACATTATATTCGAGAAGAACAAAAACACATTTCAGAGTGCCCAAAGAGTTAATGCCCACAGCTTATACTCCGGCCGCATAGAACCAAGATCGTCACACCACTGTCAACCACAAAAGACAGCAGATCCTATAGGGGTGGCAAAGTCCTCAGATCTGTTGCAATGGCTTTAATCATTCGAATAGCGATGCAATCTGCTGGGCTTTTATTATCTTTCCTGGGATGGGTTTTATCCATTATTACAACCTACTTGCCACATTGGAAGAACCTCAACCTGGACTTGAACGAAATGGAAAACTGGACCATGGGACTCTGGCAAACCTGCGTCACCCAGGAGGAAGTGGGGACGCAATGCAAGGACTTCGACTCCTTCCTGGCTTTGCCCGCTGAACTCAGGTTCTCCAGGATTTTCATGTTTCTGTCCAACGGGCTGGGATTGCTGGGCCTGCTGGTCTCTGGGTTTGGCCTGGACTGTCTGAGGATTGGAGAGAGACTGCAAGACCACAAGAGGCGACTGCTAGTCCTGGGAGGAATCCTGTCCTGGACCTCGGGGATCACAGTCCTGGCTCCCGTCTCCTGGGTCGCCCACACGACGGTCCGGGAGTTCTGGGATGAGACCATCCCAGAGATTGTCCCCAGGTGGGAGTTTGGGGAAGCCCTCTTTCTGGGCTGGTTTGCTGGCTTTTTCCTGGTACTAGGAGGGTGTCTGCTCAACTGTGCAGCCTGCTTCACCCGCGCTCCTCTGGCTCCGGGCCACTACACAGTGGCAGAGATGCAGACTCAGGGTCCATGCCTGGAAAATGGAAGTGCAGATCCGAAAGTATAAGACTTCGACAAGGCCAGAAAGGTGTATCCAACACCAGCAGTGATAACAAAAAGGTCTCTGTTATGTAACTGAATCTGTGCTACTCACATTTCTCATCCAATAACTACTTTTCTATACTGGCTAGACTCATTCCCCCCTAAAATCTGGAGATGAAGGAAAGCCTTATATTTAAAAGAAAACTATCATGGCAAACATTACATAGGTATAAGCAAGGGAAGTGTCACTAACCTGGTTATTTAAATCAATATGTAGCGGTGGCTCTCCAATATAGTCAGTTTTAAGTTTTAACATGTTCATTTTATGTTAGAAAACTTTTCTTTGTTTTTGTTGGTAGATGGAAATGATAATTAGCTTGTTTCCTCAAGAAAAAAACTAACAACCTGAAATCTTTTAAGTGTTCTACTTTAGTAAAACCACATGCCAAGCCAAACCCAAAGCGTTATTTCTACAACGACTTTGGTCTTCTTCGAACAGAAGTGATTTGTGTTTAGGAAATTACCGGGTACCCTGTGTGACAGGATTTCATGAGGCTGAAGTTTTCAGTACATTGTGATGTTCTCAGATTGAAAATACTGGCCAATCTCCTCTCTCTCTCTTTCCTCAAAAGTTTCATAGTTAAAAAAGGAAAACAATTCCAAGGATATTTTTCTTGATATTCAGATATTGTCAGTTCATTTGTTTGACAGGAAACTTCTTTTGTTCAACTAAAAATTACAAATGTGGGGATATATACCTTAGTGATGAACAGACAGATAGATTCCGACCTCCAAAGTCCTACAGCTTAACTTTTCCACAGCATTGAAAGCATATTTAAGCAAAGAAGAAAAAAAAAATCAAGTGTTTATGCCCACGTGCATGAACCTGACAGAAAGGTATGCAGATAAGCAGACTTGGTATTTAGTTCAGTATTGTTTCATATGCTATGTGGTATATGTAGCCTAAGGAATTTTAAAAGAACAGGTCTGATTTAAGGTCTAGAGAGATTTCTGATAAGATCAATTTATTTGGTTAAGAAATACTTTTCTTGAACCTACTTTAAAAAATGATGATAACATCCAATATTACCACAACATGCGTAATGAAATATGAGAACTGTAACAGATGAAAATCTGACAGGTGCAATTAGTAAAATATAAAGGAGGAGGTGAACTCAAACCGTCAATTAAACATTCTACATTCAGACATCCTAATTCTTTGACTTGTTAGGAAGGTTGGGAACAACATGAAAGCCATTTTACCTTAACAATGAAGGGAGATTTATTACTATTTAATTTCATTTCAGTGACAAACTGACTTGTACAAAATCTAGCCCATAGGACACGAGTGCAATCCTGGCCACGCCTTGGCATTACTGGTTTGCAGCATTATTTATTTCCCTATCCTTTTCTGAAACCCATTCAACATGAAATGGAACAATAGCACCTCTGGCAAGAATCCTCCTGTATACACAATGAAAAAATGTTTTTGAGCTTTGTAAATGATAACACACACTTCTTTTTCACAGCAACTCAAGGGCAGGAGTTAGCTTGGCCAAAGCTCGCAGGACATAAAAATGACTTTAGTTTTTAGAACTGTGGCACAATTAGCTGGGATTTCATTATCTCTGCTGGGATGGCTTTTATCCTGTCTTACAAACTACCTGCCACATTGGAAGAACCTCAACCTGGACTTAAACGAAATGGAAAACTGGACCATGGGACTCTGGCAAACCTGCGTCACCCAGGAGGAAGTGGGGACGCAATGCAAGGACTTCGACTCCTTCCTGGCTTTGCCCGCTGAACTCAGGATCTCCAGGATTTTAATGTTTCTGTCCAACGGGATGGGATTGCTGGGACTGCTGGTCTCTGGATTTGGCCTGGACTGTCTGAAGATTGGGGAGAGACTGCAAGACCACAAGAAGCAACTGCTAGTCCTGGGAGGAATCCTGTCCTGGACCTCGGGGATCACAGTCCTGGCTCCCATCTCCTGGGTCGCCCACACGATGGTCCGGGAGTTCTGGGATGAGACCATCCCAGAGATTGTCCCCAGGTGGGAGTTTGGGGAAGCCCTCTTTCTGGGCTGGTTTGCTGGCTTTTCCCTGGTACTAGGAGGGTGTCTGCTCAACTGTGCAGCCTGCTTCACCCGCGCTCCTCTGGCTCCGGGCCACTACACAGTGGCGGAGACGCGAGAGCCTCAACAACTGGAGATGAAGGGCACCTCCCCGAAAACCTAAGCCAGAAGGCCCAGTGCTACATGCTCTTCAGGAGACGCCTGCTCTGCACCGGATGTGGTAGGGTTTCCCACTACAGGCATCCTCTCATTGTGCTATTGATTTTCTGAAATGCATTTTCCTCCCTATGGAGAATAGTTTCTTCAACCGTAATTTCTCTCTCAGACTGGTAGAGCACTTTTTCCTTCCACTCTGAGACCCAAACCAGTCGAGACGTAACAGTGATCACACTCATTACTGTGGATGAGCTTTCTCTATTTTGAAGTAGGCTGTTATTGCACAGGACTGGTAAATAAAACATTATATTAGTCCTTATGTATCTCTGAAGGTGTTATTCACATGAAGATGTATCACCTTGGCAATCATTTACTTCTTCCAGGTGTTTAAGGTAACCTATGATCATCGAACTACGGTCTGGCTGCGTGTTTACTTAAAAGGCATAGCATCTGAATATACCAAAGATGTCGCTGGCGCTTTAAAAGCTTCAGAGGTGAGCACTCCAGACACACTCTCTCCTGCAGCAGAGACCTCAGTGCCTCTGTGGCACTTCTCTAAAGGCAGCCGCACGCGTTCATGCCTCTTCACTGTCAGCACAGAGGACGGCAATCTTGCCTTCTGGACGATCCACACAGAATCTGCTTCTGCTTCTGTGTCCCGTGCTCTGCCGTTGACGGCCTCGCCCCCGTCGGCCTCGCTCTGAGCAGCCCTGGGGCACAGCAGGTCAGGCCCGGCGCTGGAACCCGGCCTCCCCCCAAACTTGCTAGCCCAGGCGGTGAGACCACACGGTGACTCTGCAGCCCTGGCTTCACTTGCACAATGGAAATGTTTCACGTTTCTCATCAGCAGCACATTATCCAAGCAAGACCTCTTCTCACAAACTGCAGGCCTGGGGATTTCCTCATGAAAGATTTTATATTTGCTTGGTACATGGTTCAAGTAAACGCTTGTGTTTGTGCCAATCAGGGAAATTAACTGAACAATAAAAGACACTGACATAGAGTATTAGGCAATAGGCATCTTTGTTAAAAAAAAAAAACACTGAATTTTTTTCCACCCACAAACATATGGAAAGTGCAGAAACCAAAGTTAATCTATGTAATGTATTTGCATATTTTTACAAACCAAGACAAATTAAAACAGAAACATATTCAGAATTTAACCTGATTAAATATTTAGTTCAGTCCTGAGCTTTTGATATTTAATACAATATAGATAAAGCAATAGCAAAAAAAAAAAAAGATTTATTTGATTTGCATGCTACAGAAATTTAGCTAAACTTTGTTCATTTGGCTAGCAATATTCTTTTTGTACCTGTAACACTTAAGATTCTGATATACAAAACTGTCATAATATATTGATAATTCAAACTTGAGGACTAAATATTGCATTCTTTTACCCTGTGCAGAATAAATTCTAGCTTTTAAAAATAGTATTTATAATATTAAAATTCATATTTGTCCATATGGTTTTGTGATCAAGTTATTAAAATGTTCTGTCACTGTGAATCATTTGGGTTAGTAGTAATATGAAAAGATTATTGAAAGCTGCCTATAAATACATGACACTATTGTTGATTTTTAACGTGTGAAAAAGGATTACATTAAAATAAGTTCATCTCTCATATTAGAAATGAGCAAATTTTGTAAAATACAACCAAAAGGATCTTGGTCACAACTTTTCACTGCCAGCCTGAGACGGATTTTATTCTTTAATACTTGTCTGAAACTTCTTGTATTACAAAAAGTTGACAGCTAATCTGATGACAATTTATAAAGCTGTAAATATTCCAATATAGCCTCTTCTGTGTCAAACATTTAACATGGCCAGAACCAAACCATATATTAAACAGAACATAAATAAGACCGTAAATAAATAAATGAAGAAAATAAAATCATACGGTACAACTACACATAATTCTAGAAACATTTTCATGGTCAAACTACGAAGCCGAAAACTGCTGGCCTTCACTGACCTCTATGTTAAATAAACTTCTGCCTTTCACATTTGACCTTGACAAAGGTAGACGGTGTCCTTGTTTCTAGCTTTCCTTAGTCATTGAATAGAATGAACTGGGCAGCCCAGAAAGACTGCTCGGTCAGGGCACTAGGCTAGTTTTTGCTCAAAGAAGTGCCACGTCCAGCTAGGTCTTCAAAGAAATTTGTACGTAAGTGGTGTGATATTTAGGAGAAAACAAAGATCTAGGCTCAGAAATTTCTTAATCTGAACTTTGATTCTGATAAAATGAACTTTTCAAAATATGTTCAATTCCTGTCAAGACAATAAAAATTCTTGCTATTGAGGATTCTAGCTTAGGAATAGAACTTTATTTTTTCTTCTTATTCTTTCTTTCTTTAAGGGGCCCATTCCTGTAAGACAATTTTGCATTTCTTAAAAAAAAAAGGTTTAGTTTGCCATATATATAAGATGGATAACCAAAAATTGCTTCTTCCAGTAATAGACTGAGTAATAAGTATGGTTTAAATGGCCTAAATAATATATATGTTTATGCTGGCAGAGCTACACTAAGGATTTGTTTTTTTTAAGAAGTGCCAGGGTTGGGTAAGCTGAAATTCTAAACTGGAGGACAGGTCACTCAGTTTCCCTCTCTAAACTTGTTCATCCGGAACTGTTCTTTTTTTTTTTTTTTTAAACAACGATTTAGCCTCTACTTCAAATTCATAATCCCCCCAGGCACACTCTTCCCTTTGCCTCCCAAATATTTACCATAAGTTACATATGGAACCCCTAAAACTGAGAGCTGCAAAGTAATTTCTAGTAAATGTTAGAAATCTGTTTGGTACCCTGTTTTTTCACTTTTGGCAACTTTGGCTCAGTCAAGACATCCTCTCCTCCATGCTGGTTTCCCTTCTGTCTCTAGCGCCGCCTGTCTTCAGAACACAGGCCATGGCTCGGAACCAGCCTCCATCCTAGGACACAACCCTGGCGCAAGCCAGAGACTCGCCACTGAGCACTTGGGCAAATTCAGGTTGTGTTAGATGAACCGGCTGCTCGTTTGATGAGTCTATTCAGTGTATTTTAGGGTGACTGGTGTTCTTTCTGCTCCCCTGTCCTCAGTATCAAGGATCCCACAATCCTTAGAATAGTCAGGAGTATTGCCCCTTTGTATTTTTAGATTCTTGCACTCGGTATTTGATATTTTTGGTGTTTTTAGACAAATATAAAAGGACGAAAAGGAAACTGTCTGAAGGAACAAAGTGTTCCCACGCAGGTGGTGGCTATGACCCCAGGACCTGCTGCAGGTAGGCATGGACTCTGCACTCCAGCTCATGCAGAACGCCCAGCTGAAAGGGCTGCTCTCTAGCACACAGACGTGGCAGGGTGGCCACCTTCAGAGTCCACTTACAGGAACACAAGGGGAGCAAAGCCACCTCTGCTGAATCGAGTTGCTTCTCAACAGTCAGCTCAGCAGGACACACACTGGACACTGTCTCTGCTCCATGTTCACAAATGAGGCCCTCTGGTAACACAGACATACCGCACACCATGTGTGTAACAGATCCTGCTTTTGTTATCTGACTTTTTTCTTTTTTAAGCATATAAGAATTACATTCAAGGTACTTTACAAATTACATGTTGAAAATCTGATGTGATATAAAAGTTCTTCAAGAGTTGACAGTTACATGACCAAAAAACAAAAACAAATGTTCAGTCTTTTGCCCTTCCCAAGAAAGTGAACAGGTAACAAAACAAAACAAAACAATTCCTTAAGCCATGTGATCATACGTCATCAGCTGGCAGGGATGGAATGCTAATCTTCGCTCTGGTAAAGTAGGCAATCTTCTCCCTAGGGTTGGGGAGAGAAATAAACCGATTGAAATATGGGTGTTGAAAATACTTTGTGACCATTAAAACAGTCCCCAAGAACTGCAGTGGGTCTCTACAAGCCTGGGTAGGAAAGCTTTTCCGTCGGCAGGACTCCATTTAAAATCAAGGCAGTCTCTGCCTCTGAAAGGAAGCATAAAAAGTAGCTCTGGCTGCAGTAAGGCACTGACAGACCAAGCCAGGAGGCTCCCTTCGGGATTTCCAACACGAGACAGCCCATGGGTTCAGTCTGTGCATGGGTGTTTCTAAACCAGACAGGATTCAAAGGGTCCAAATCCTATGTGAAAGCTTCTCAGTGATCTCACAGAAAAGTACATGATGCCAGGAAGTTTCTCTAAAACCAATGCCATGCTAAGGCAGGAGAACCTCATGAGCGACACCCTGACTCGTTGGAGGGGAGGGACTCAGCTGCCTCGAAGGTAGAAACGGCCCTGCTTCCTGAAGCAGGGATAAGGAGAAATGACCTGAAAGGGAGAAGCTGAGAAGGAGAATGGTTTCCAGAGTAGGACAGTGCTACAAAAATGAGATTTGAGGACTTTGTAGTTATCTAAGGCAAGAGCAGAATGTCTTTCTTCCTAGAAATTTTCACTGCACACAGCATTTCATGAACACACATTTCCTGAGGGGCAAATCACATGAGGGGTACGTGGGCAGCTGTGAGAAGAACAGCACCCTGGCCCCTGGGAAGTGAGCAGGCGAGGAGGGGAGGACGCCTGGGGTGAGACAGAGATGCTGAGAAGAAAAGGAAGAGGAGGAAATCATGGACACTGGAACAAGAGCCCTTTTGGTGGCATAATGTCCTTTACAGTTGTTCAACTCCCTAAGAGATAATTAAGAGTTTTTAAAGGCAAGAGTGTGGGTAGATATCAGTGGAGGCCTTACGGCACACTTGAAAACTGGGGTGTTTAAAAATACCTGAATTAGTTGCCGAGCCTACATTTAAGATATTTCACATGAAATTCTTGCTTTCTGGCTTCTCTTGCAATCAGAAGGCCAGGGAACACTGGGATCCTGACTCCAGGCGAAACAAGCAACTGGGGTGGAGCTGCACCTGCGTGCGGGCAGAATGCTCCAGACCCCCCACCCCCATCTCTCACCACCCCAGGCCAGGCGTCAGTGACCATGCACATCCCTCATGCTTCCAGTACAGTCTGTCTTACTCCAGTCCATCTCATTCATTCTTATCACCTGCCTGGGGATACGACGGAAGGGGCTTGTACCTTAAGGGAAGTCAGGAATGTTTATGAATTCTTTGTTTCAGGTTTTAGCAACGACTGTGAGTTTGTGATTTTCCAGGCTGCACAATGCTGCGTACTCTCAAAATGACCACAGTGCCAAGGCTTGGAAGGACTACTCTCACCCTGCAGTTCGAAAAACCCAGGGACTCATACTCCCTGAAAGTTACCAAAGTGATTATTTAGTAGAATGGAGGCTTTCATGAGGGCAGGGAAAACGAACTCTTTGTTATAAAACAACTCGTAAAGAACGAAAGAGCCGAGAGCCCACAGGGCCTCATTGCTGGTGCCGCACCTTCCTCCTGTGTCCTGCATAACCATGCCTGTCCGCCACACTTCGGAACACTCCCCTGGGGCTTCTCTGGCTTACGCCTGCAGCTTTCCAGAGACTCCTCCATACCAAACCCCAACCCCAACCCAGCCAAACCCCCATGCAACCAGACCGTTCTCCGGCCCCTCCCACTGAGCGGACGCCTCCCCCGGCGGCTTCCAGGGCCACCTCTCAGCTCCTGCCATCCATCTCCTCGTCTCGCCCGCCCACCCAGGGCCTCTGGGTCTCCTCGGCCTCTTGGCTGCGCCTCCTTGCATCTTTGCTGCTGGGCGCCCTGTCACAGTTGGTGGCCCCGGCCCTCCTTCCTGGCTTCTTTCTACGTTTCATGGAACGTCTGGCCATCTCCCCTTGTGGGATCACTACACCAAGGAGGAACACTCTGTTTTCATCTCCGCCCTGACCCTGAACCCTGGCTCTGAGTTTTTATTTCCATTTGTCTACTGGCGTCACCTGTAGGTGCCAGGCAGAACTCAGGGTCCTCCTCACACCCCTGCCCCTTGGTGTCCATCTCAAGGGCTGGGACCTCAGGGCAGCATCCCCACCGCCCCTACGACCCTCCTGGGCCACCTGACCAGTTTCTCCCTGGCCCACGCTCCACAGCACCCCTGAGATCTGCCCTACATGGAATCGATACCCTCATTTGCTCTTGTGCCTGGAGACCAAGCTAGGAAACAGAAGACTTCGGTCTCATGTCTCAATACTAGTGTTCCCTGCACTGGGGAGAATTCCTGAACTCATGCCATATGAGGGCAACTCAAGAGCTGTGCTAGGTGGGGCCACTTACCTGAAGGACTGCACCTGCCGGGGCACCTGCCAGCTCTGCTCCCGAAGCCGACACACGTCCTTGGAGACTTGCCTCATCAGTTTCTCCGCATTCAAACTTTGCTTCTGCTCTTCTTTTGACTGTTCTGCCTGGCAAAGTTAAGAAAAACATGAAAAACACACAAAACGGTGATTAGAAATCCCTGAAGACATCCTAAGAGGCTTGAAAGTTCACGAGGTAAAGTCAAGAGACAGAGCAAGGTAGCCAGTGGGCTGGGTGAATTCTTTCACTCATCAGGGGACAACATTAACATGCCCAACTCATCCCGAGTGGCAGAAGGTGCTGGTGCAGGGGCAAGTTTATTTTAACCGCATTTTAGAAATCTTATTACATAGGTAATATGTGACAATTTTCTTACTGTGAACACTCAAAAAAGAAACTGAAAACTACTTACAGCACTTCTTTCAAAAAATAGCTACAATTAATATTTTGGTGAATACGCTTGCAACCTCTTATTTATCTTTTATACACTTTTGTTGGTCTTAGCCAACAGACACAATGCGCAGCCTCACGAATCATCAGATAAATGCAAATCAAAACTACAATGAGATACCACCAACTCCAGTAAGGATGATTATCATTAATAAGTCAAAAAACAACAGATGCTGGTGTGGATACAGAGAAAGAGAACACTTCTATACTGGTGGTGGGAGTGCAAATTAGTTCAACCTTTATGGAAAACAGTGTTTCGATTCCTAAAAGAACTAAAAATTGATCTTCCATACAGTCCAGCAATTCCTCTCCTGGAAACATACCTGGAGGAACATAAGTTGTTCTACCAAAAAGACACCTGCACATGCATGCTTACAGCTACACTATTCACAATAGCAAAAACACTGAACCCACCCAGATGCCAATTAAAAGTGGACTGGATAAAGAAAATTTGGTACATATACACGTTGGAGTATTATGCAGCCACAAAGGAGAACAAAATCATGAATTCTGCAGTAAACTGGATGGAGTTGAAGACTATCATACTAAGTGAACTACTACAGAAACAACTGAATATCCCACGCTCTCACTCCGAAATGGGCCCTCAACACTAGTCACATTAGCACGAGGGGGGAACTGGCAGTTGCTGGGCATTGCTGAGGGTGGGAGGCATGAAACAATATACAGGGACCCGGTCCACAACCAGGGGGAGCGAGGGCCAGGTAGGAGACCAAACTTCATCTGCATGCAGCCTACTTATGTAGTTAACCCTCACTTGTATCCAACATCTCTATAATAATGAAAATAAAAAAGCTAAATTACAACAGTAAAAACAAAAAGCTGTTTATTAAAGTAGAATTTACCTACCAAAAAACTGTACATGAAAGCACATAGCTCAAAGAACTTTTATAAATTGAACACAACCATGTAACCAGCACCACATAAAGGAAGAGAACATTCCTAGTTCCCAAGAAGCCCTTCCCAGTGACTGTTTGGCCACTGCACATGGGCTCTGGTATCCTGACTTCTAACAGCACAGGCTACTTTTCCTCTTGTCCTCGGTGTGGATGGATGGTCCAGTAGACACACTTGAGCTCTGGCTCCTTATGCTCAACCTCCTGCTTATGCGAATCATACACACCACTGCACAGAGGTGCAGCCCATTTTCCTCACTGCCGTATCACAGTCCATGATGTGACTTTACCACAACTCACCACCTGTTCTACTAATGATGGATATTTGAGTATTTTGCAGGAATATGTTTTTATCATAAAAATGGATGGATAATACTATTAAAATGGACTCATAATACATTAAAAGTTGCCTTTTCATTTCACTCACTCACGCACACGCATTCATGCGTTCACCTAATCAACAAGTATTTGTTGACTGTGTCCTACAGAGAGGGGCATTAAGTTGGTGGCGAAGAACAAATACTCTGGCACCATACAGCCTGGGTTTACATTCCATTTCTACCACTTACTAGTTATGTCAATTTGGGTAAGTTGTGTGTCTTAGATGCATTTGTAGATTGGGAGTAAGTACTTAATTCAAAGGGCTGTTGTGAAGTTTAAATGCGCTTATGTATGTAAAGCACTAAAAGCAGTACCCAACACATCAGCCTACTTATGTAGTTATTTTGACTATATGCCAGGCACTGTACTAGGAGGTAGGGATATAGCTGTGAAGAAATGAATGAAGTGCAGGCCAGGAGTCCAAGGTGAGAGGACTGCTTGAAGCCAGGAGTTTGAAATCAGCTTGGGCAAGATAGCAAGACTGTCTCTACAAAAAACTATAAAAAACTAGTCAAGCATGGTGGCTTGTACCTGAAATCCCAGCTACTGAGGAGACAAGTGGGAGGACTGCTTAAGGCCAGGAGTTCGAGGCTGTAGTGAGCTATGATTGTGCCAAGGCACTACAGCTTCAGTGGCAGACTGAGACCCTGTCTCAAAACAAACAACACAGATGAAGTCCAGTGGCAGAGACCAACAGCAGCAAAGATTATTTAATAATTATTAAAAACTAACAATATGACCAGGCACAGTGGCTCATGCCTGTGAATCCCAGCACTTTGAGAGGCTGAGGAGGGAGGACTGCTTGAGCCCAGGAATTTGAGACCAGCCTAGGCAACATGGTGAGACCGCATCTCTAAGAAAAAAACTCATAAAATCAGCTGGGCGTGGTGGTGTGCAGCTGTGGTCCCAGCTACTTGGGAGAATGAAGAAGGAAGATTACTTGAGCCCAGGAGGTCATGGCTGTAGGTGAGCCGTAATTGTGCCACTGCACTTCAGCCTGGGAGAAAGAGTAGTATTTCCTACTCAAATAAACAATAAAAAATTAACAATATATCACCTATATTTTCTCAGGTTAACAAAGCTTCCTCTCCATAACATTTTTAAAAAGTCTTTACTTTTTAGAGCTGTTTTGGTTTACAGCAAAACTGAGCAGGAAGTAGAGAGTTCCCATATACTCCCTGGCCCACGCATGCACAACCTTCCCCACTGCCAACGTCCCCACCAGTGGTACATTTGTTACAATTAATGAGCCTATATTGACCCATCATTATCACCCAGAGTCTACAGCTTACATTAGACGTCACTCTTTTATATATTAGCATTCTATGGGTTTTGGCAAGGTATAATGATATACATCCACCATTACGGTATCATACAGAGAGATAGTTTCACTGTCCTAAAATTCCTCTTATTCCGCCAATTCTTCTCTCCCTCCCTCCTAACCACTGGAACCACTGATCTTTCTACTGTCTTCAAAGTATATCCATTGTCTAGACATACTAACTTAACCATTCACCTATTGAAGGATATCTCAATTGCTTCTAAGCTTTGGCAATTATGAGTACAGCTGCTGTAAACTTCCATGCAAAGGTTTTTATGTGGACATAACTTTTCGACTCATACCAAGGAACACAACTGCTGGATCACATGTAAGAGTCTGTTTAGTTTCGTAAGAAACTGCCCAACTGTCTTCCAAAGTGCATATATCATTTTGCATTTGCACCAGCAATGAATGGGAGTTACTGTTGGTCTAAATCTTTGTCAGCATTTGGTGTTGTCTGTGTTCTGAATTTTGGCCATTCTAACAGGTGTGTAGTAGTATTTTATTACTGCTTTTAACCTATGATATCTTAAGGACATATATGATGTTGAATATTTTCTTCATATCTTTATTCACCATTTGTATATGTTCTTCGGTGAGGTGCCTGTTTAGGTCTTTTGCCAATTTTTAAATTAATTGTTTTGTATTGTTTAGTTTTAAGAGCTCTTTTTAATTTGGATATATATATATATATATATATATATTATCAGATATATCTTTTGCAAATATTTCTCCCAGTATATGGTTTATTTTCTTTCTCTTGACAATGTCTTTCATAAAGCAGAAGTTTTAAATTTTAACGAAGTCCAGCTTATTAGTAATTTCTTTCAAGGTTCTTTCAAATTCTTTCATGGTTCATGCCTCTGAAGTTGTATATTAAAGTCACTGCCATATGCAAGGTCATCTAGGCTTTCCCTTAGGATAAATTCTAAGAGTTTTATAGTTTATACTTCATACTTAGGTCTGTGATACACTCTGAGTTAAGTTTTATGAAGGGTATAGAGTCTGTATCTAGACTCATTTTTTTGCATGTGGAGGGGGGGTCAAATCTTTCATATTTTCTATATATGCCATCATGTCATATATGAACAAAGACAATTTAAACTACCCATAACTCTTCTGTCTTAGTGCATTAACTAAGACTTCTAGTATGATATAGAAAAGGAGAAGTGGGGACATCTTTGCCCTGTTCCTCATCTTAGTGGGAGAGCATCTAGCTTCTCACCATTAATCATGTTAGTTGAAGAGTTTTACAGATGTTCTTCAAGTTCCTTTCTATTTCTAGTTTGCTGGGAATTTCAATTATAAATGGGTGTTGAATTTTTTCAAAAATTTTTTGCATCTATCGATATGCTCATGTGTGTGTATTTTTTAGTCTGTTGACATGATGGAGGACATTAATTTTTTAAATGTCAAATCCGTCTTACATACCATACCTGGGATAAATCTCTCTTAGCCATAGTGTATAATTCTTTTTATATATTGTTGGATATATAAAATATTTTATAATATTGTAATATTTTATTGAACATTTCTGCATCTATGTTCACAAGAGATTTTAGTCTGTAGCTGTCTTATAATGTTTTTGCCTGGTTTTATTTTATTAGGATAATGCTGACCTCATGGAATAAGTTAGGAAGTATACCTTCCTATCCTCCAAAAGACTGTAGATAATTGATTAGCTTATTTCCTTAAATGTCTGGTAGGCTTCACCAGTGAATCCATCGAGGCCTAGTTGTTTTAGTTTGGGAAAGTTATTAATTATTGACTCAATTTCTTCATAGATCTAGGCCTATTCAGATTGTGTATTTCTTGATCTGAGTTTTGACGGATTGTCTTTTTGAAGGAATTGTTCCATTTCATTTAGGTTATCAGATTTGTGGGCACAGAGTATTATGGAATACACATAGTATTCCATTACTATCCTTTTAGCATTCATGGGATCTGTAGTGATGTCTCCTCTTTTATTTCTGACGTTTGTGACATAATTTGTTCTTTCTCCCTTTTTTCTTAGCCTGGTTAGCAGTTTACTACTGATCTT